AGGTAACTTCCTCATTTGAGGAGCGTCAAAGAACTCAAGGCGCTCCTTTGATGGGGGAACGTCCGGGCAAACTCCGGGGTTGAGGTTCCCCCAATATGCCAACTCGGTCACGGATGGGGCCGAGTTGCTACTCTGTGAGGGGCCTCCTTCCTCTTCTTGAGCGGACGCTGATGCGTCCGCCCCCACTCCTTCAGAACTCTATTTCCGATATGGCGGGTCGGACAGACCAAGAACGGGGATTTCTCTTAACGAACCGTCCGACCTGCCCCCTCGCAGAGCCCCTCCTACCGGGAGTCAGGCGGCCGTTGCCAAAGATAAGGGCAAACAGCCACTTGAAGACACAATCTCCCCCCGGGGCGGCCATAGTTCTAGGAGCCGCAGCTCGGCGGAGGTAGCTCACCTTGATAGAGTGTTGTCCTCCGAGTTTGGGAGCGTTCCTCGACAAGAGGAGGGCGAAGCTGAGAATGCGGTCGAGGGTGGAACAGCGGCCGCAGAGGGTGAAGAGGCGGCCGAGGAGGAGGTTGCCAACATTGACAACTTCAAGGATCCGTACGCCTGCATGGTGGGTAGCACGGCCTTGGGCTACCTAAACCACAACTTTGAGGAGTACAAGGCATTCCTCCTCCTTGGGGAAGGATTTGAGATCCAACCTCCAAGGAAGTCCCGCGCTCTGGCCGCCTGGGAAGAAGAGAGGTCGCGCCAAAGATCCTTCAGCGTCTACAGGGCGGCCTTAGACGTTGGACTGCGCTTCCCCCTCCATCCTTTCGTCCGCACAATCTTGGATGAGTATGATATTGCTCTCTTCCAGCTGATGCCAAACAGCTGGTTGAACATCTTTGGGTACCTGGTGACGTGCATCTGCAAGGGCTTCGAGCCAGACTTTGCAGTTTTCTGTGAGATGCACTCACTGACTAGGCTGGACACTGATACGGACGGCTGGCTCATCTTAAGCACCACTAAATATTACATGGTGGTGATGGACCGCGTCTCAAAGTGGCGTGACTGGAAGCACCGATTCTACCGCATCAAAACTAAGGACGTCGAATTTAGCTTGCGGATGAATCGGTTCAACGCAGAGCCAATTCAACTTGGACGCGGGGATCTCAAGCCCGATAAGCCACCCATCCACCCCAGCCAGGAGCACCAGCTTGAATATTTCAAAGTCAAGCGGGTGAAAAGGAACGGCAAGACTGAGCGCGTTCCAAGTAACTGGGTCCCTTTATCCAGCCGGCTGCGGGATCCCACCTTCATGTACGCCTATGTCCTATACAGAAACCTGCCCCAAGGTGGACGCAGGGACACATATTCTTACACTTACACATAATATTTGATCTTAAAAAATCTTCTAACTCTTTTTCTTCTTCTTTCAGCTGAGGCGTACGAGATGCTGGACAAGGAGCAAAAAGGGGAGGTCAACATGTCCGAGATTGACCTGGCTTGGTACAAGGCTCGTCAGAGACTGTACGAGCAAACTAAAGGAGTAAGTAAACCCATCTAGATTTCTTCTTTACGTCCGTGTATGCATTACAGAAGAGATCTTCTTCCTGACTAGGCTCGGCCTATTATATTATCTTGCTTTCTTTTTCTAACTTTTGTTTCTACAGCTGGCCACTCCAACCCCCAAGTCTAAGCGGAAGTAGTCGTCTCCTGCGTCCAAGACGGATCAGGACGACAAGGCGTCCAAGCAACGGAAGACGGTCGCATCCAAGACCACTTCTACTTCTGCGGCCAAGACGACGCCGCGGACTATATCGAAACAGTCCAAAGGAGAACAACCCCGGCTGAGCGATAGCGGGGCCTCCAAGTCCATAGATCCGGCCACCATGACGGATCATGTTAGGTCCGAGAAATCGAACGATAGGGGTAAGTCGACCCAGGCAAAACCGACCGGGCCAGAAGTGACTTCGCCCGTCCAAAGAGTCAATGAATCTGATTGGCTTGATGCCAATCAGTCGGTCGACGATCAGCCTGGCCGGACGGGGGAGGATAGTAATGAGCCTGCGCCGCCCCCGTCATTCACTTTCGACCTCCCAACTCCTCCAAGCTTCTCTGATGGTCAGTTCCAATAACTTTGGATCTTTTTTTTTTTTACTTACATTTAACTCTTTGCGTCCGCCTACAGACATTGCAGAGGAGCTTCAAATGAAGCTGCCCGGCCAGTCCCTTACTGGAGCGGACAGGAAGGCGATGCGGGAGGCCATGGCCCGGGTCGTCCCTGCTGAGTAGCGAGATAAGCTGCGGGGAATTCATGAGGGCTTCCTCGGTCCTATGATCAATTGCAGCGCTGAGGTAAATTTCTCCCTCAAATGGACTTAGCCAATTTTTCGCGCATTTTGCTAACACATTTACCTTGTACGCAGCTCTTCCTACGGCTGAATGCCTTCCTGGAATGGAAGGACAAGGAGAACGAGCGGCTGAAGCATGCTTGGGCCCAGATTCAAAAGACCCAGGATGCCGTGACTGGGGAGGTGGCCGTCCAGCGCCGCTATTTTGAGACCTAAATCAACGCGCTGTCCGACAAGACTGCGCGGCAGACGAAAGATTTGGTGAAGCTGGGGGAGGCCCTAAAGCAAGAGTCCTTGGCCAGGGAGGCCATGAGACAAGAGAGGGACCAAGCCTTGCTGGACGGCGAATGCTGGAGGGCAGGGTTCGAGGCCTCCAAAAAGCTTCAGAGTGATGTAGCCTTGGCCCAAAAACACTTGAAGGAGGCCTTGGACGAGTCGGACACTCTGAGGGCCGAGGTGGAGACCTTAAAGAAGTCCGTTGAGGACTTGACTCTCCAGCTGAAGACACCTCGGGCCGCTAGCGCAGACGAGGTCGTCCGCATTGAGCAGAACGCTGAGGATCGGCTGAAGAGTTTCTTCTTCGAAGCGTTCGAGCTCATGGTGGAGGATGGGGAGGCCGCCTATTTTCAAGAGCGCTTCACTAAGCGCCTCAACTTCGTCTGCCTTAGGGAAGAGGCTAAGAAGGCTGGCCAGCCTTCTCCTGAGCTGGACGCCACACCAACAACCTCAGAGGATGAGGAAAATCAGGTGGCGGACATCAATGATGGTGAAGCGGAGAGCAAAGAGGTGCCAGCTGAGGACGCCTCTCCTGCAGCTCTTCAGGATCCCATCCCAGTCCTTAACTCAGCTTCTGCCCCGGCCGCCCCCTGACTTTCAGCTTTCTCTGCTTTTAAGCTATGTTTATGTATAGTTTTCTTGTCTTTTCCAACCGCCTTTTTGAGCGGTTTTTATGTAAGATATTTTACCGCCTTTTGAGCGGCCCTTTTATTAATTTAAGTTTGATGATTCTTCTTCACACTTTGCATAGTTCATACTTAACGAGTTTTTTTTTTTTTTTTGCATTTTTATACGCGTACTTTTCTTGTTTTTATATCCTCGTACAATTGGGGGGTATGCCCCTTTATTCGGCGTTCGCCTAGTCCATACTTTGGGTGATTTGATTGGCTTGGTAGAATTTATACCTTAGGTGGTATGACTTTTACCAAGTTCATCAAATCATAATAATGATTGCCCTTGGACTAGGTGGTACGCCGAATCAACACACATATTGGCCGCTCAATTGGCTTTGTTTGAGTTTGTCCGTTGAAACTATCGCTCGGACGCACTCAGGAAATTCCAAGTGTGATCTCAACTTAAAATTTCATGTTCGGCTAGGCTGGAATGCCTTGGTATGCCCTTGCCCCACTATGTGGGTTTCACAGGGTACCTTACCCCTATCGTTCGCATTCATTTAGGGCGGACGCATTTATGTGAATTTTGGGATCAAGCTGCCCATTCTTACTTTACTTAATTTATTTTTGTTCTGCGACCGTGTTGCTATGTTGCAAGTAACCTACTTGCAACTTTTACGCGGCCTATCCGAATAAGTTATGACTGTACAAATAAGCATTGATAAAATGGAAAAATAATTATAACAATGTTTGACTCTTTCATTAATTTGTCAAAATTACATTGTCGTGGCCGTACGGCTTACATTGCTCGGTCAACAGACCTAGCTGTATACACAGCTTTTTGGCTAAGTAATTAAACATAATATTTCTTCAGATTGTCGGTGTTCCATGTGCGCGGGATGGGTCAGCCGTTCATGGCTTCAAGACGGTAAGTCCCATCTCTGACCTCCTCCCTAACTCGATAAGGCCCTTCCCAATTTGGGGTCAGCTTGCCATCCTCATTTTCTCGCCCCACCGCTTCCATCTTCCTTAGGACCAAATCTCCCAATTTTATCGGCCGCTTTGACACTCGGCGATTATATGCCCTGGTCATCCGAAGACGATAGATTTCGTGTCTAAGCACCGCATTGCCCCTAGCTTCGGGAAGGAAGTCTAGGGCGGTCTTCATGGCTTCCCAATTGGCCGCTTCATCATATAACATCACCCTAAGAGTGGGCTCGTACATTTCAATTAGAAGGACCGCTTCAGCATCATAGACTAGGAAGAAGGGAGTTTCTCCTGTGGAACTTTTGGTCGTGGTTCGTATGGACCACAGCACATTAATCAATTCGTCAGCCCACAAGCCACCTGCTTTTTCTAGCTTGCGCTTAATTCCATTGGAGATCAATTTGTTGTACGCCTCTACCTGGCCATTGGCTTGTGGGCGGCCGACCGAAGCAAAGCAATGAGCTGTGCCTTGGTCTTCCAACCATTTTTTGAGTTGAGGCGTTTCGAACTGAGGTCCGTTGTCAAACACCATAGACTGGGGAACGCCAAAGCGTGTAATGATACTCTTCCATATGAAAGCTGTAACATCTGTCCATTTGATGCCTCAGACGGCCTCGACCTCTACCCATTTTGTGAAGTAGTCTACTGCTACAAACACATACCGCCTCTGGCCGGACGCTGGTGTGTATGGTCCTAAGATGTCCACCCCCCATTTGGCAAAGGGGAGCGGACTACTGATGGCCGAAAGGCTGTTGGCGGGTCGGTGAATTAATGTTGCGAACTTCTGGCACTTGTCACACTTCTTCACCATTTCCATTGCGTCCGACTTTAAGCTCGGTCAGTAGTAACCCAGGCGGGCAGCTTTTTCAGCCAATGCTCGTCCTCCAATGTGAGAACCACACTGCCCTTGGTGAATATCATCCAAGACATCATACCCTCTCTCAGGAGTGATGCATTTCAGGTATGGCTTTACAAATGCCTTTTTGAACAACTCCCCTTGCTTAACTTCAAACCAAGCCGCTCTCTTTTTCATCAGCCAGCTCTCTTTAGGATCGGCCGGGAGTAATCCGTCCTTAAGGTAAGATATAATCCCGTCCATCCAAGTGGAGCTTCTATCAATTGCATATACTGGCTCAACATTAATGCTCCTCTTCTCTTTTACTTCCCAAAACACTGACCTGGGAGTATCACATGATGCTGAGGATGCTAACTTAGAGAGGGCGTCCGCCTGATGATTGGACGAACGAGGGATCTGCTGCAGGGTAAAATGGTCTAGGATCTCAGCCTCCTCTTTTACAATCTTCAAGTATTTTACCATGGCCGGCTCCCTCGCCTCAAAGTCTCCATTCACCTGGCCGACTACAAGTAGGGAGTCTGAGCACACGTCAATTTTTGTCGCTCTTGCCGCCTTACACATTCTGAGGCCGGCCAAGAGGGCTTCGTACTCGGCCTCGTTATTAGAGGCTTGAAACTGGAATCTCATGTGACTGGCATATAACACCTGCACCACAACCAGTGGCTGTCGCACTGCCATCCACGAACACTTTCCAGATTTGATCTCCGGCCGAGTCATTTCAGCTAAGAAATCAGCAAAGGCTTGCCCCTTGATTGCTTTTCTTGGCTCAAATGTAATATCCAAACCTCTCATTTCCAAGGCCCATTTGAGCATACGGCCGCTTGCCTCTAGCGTTGTAAATGGTTTCTTCAAGGGTTGGTCTGTGTAGAACACAATTGAAAGTGCCAAGAAATATGGCCGCAGCTTTTTTGACGCCATGTACAATGCCAAGCCAAATTTTTCAATAGGGGGATACCTTAGCTCAGCGTTATGTAGAACGTGGCTAACAAAGTAGACAGGGATCTGGCGGCCGTCCCGCTCAGCAAGTAGGACGGCACTTAAAGAGTGCTCTGAGATAGCAAGATAGATGAATAACTTCTCGCTCTTAAGTGGGCTGACAAGCCGAGGCAATGTATGTAAATGGCCCTTTAGCTGTACGAATGCTTCCTCGGCTTCCTCTGTCCACTCAAACATGGCTTTCTTTTTTATGGTTTGAAAGAAATAGCGGCACTTATTCCCTGATCTTGACAGAAATCTACCAAGTGCGGCCAAACAGCTGGCCAATCTTTGGACTTCTTTAATTGTCCTTGGTGACTTCATGTCCAAGACAGCTTGGATTTTTTCAGGGTTGGCCTCGATTCCACGTTGATCAATCAAAAATCCGAGAAATTTACCGGACTCAACACCAAAGACACATTTCTTTGGATTTAACATCATCTTATGCCGCCTGAGTTCGGTAAAAGTTTCTCTTAGATCCTTCAAATGGTCGGCCGGCTCTTTTGACTTGACAATCATGTCATCTATGTATGCCTCCATATTCCGGCCGAGCTGATCTATGAAGACTGTGTTTACAAGTCGCTGAAAGGTAGCTGGGGCATTCTTAAGGCCGAATGGCATGACTCTGTAACAGTACAACCCCAGCTCAGTCACGAACGCCGTTTTCTCCTGGTCTTCTTCCCATAACGGAATTTGATGGAATCCAGAGTATGCGTCCATAAAGCTCATCAGGGCATGCCCGGCCGTCGAAATCAACCAGCCGGTCGATTTTGGGCAGAGGAAAGCTATCCTTAGGGCATGACTTGTTTAGATCTGTGTAATCCACGCACATTCTCCAAGTTCCATTCGGCTTTTTGACAAGGATCACATTGGCCACCCATTCTGGGTAAAAGCATTGCCGAAAGAAACCGGCGTCCAGAAGCTTCTTAACTTCTGCTGCGGCCGTCTAATTCCTTTCCTCTCCATGATTTCTTTTCTTCTGGCGGACAGGTTTAACGGCCGGGTTTACCGCTAATTTTTGCACAACCAGATCTGGACTTATACCTGGCATCTCGCCGACCTCAAACGCAAATACATCCTTGAACTCTCTCAATAATTGAATTAACTCATCCCCAAGCACACCCAAAGCTATAGTGCCCACACTGACTGTCCGATTTGGTTGATCGGGGTTGAGCACTATATCCTGGTGAATGCCGGCCGGCTGGGGTCGTAACTCTTCTGGCCGACCAACAGTCATTAGCTGCTATGCTTGCTCTATCTTGGTCGCCTTACGCTTCTGGCCGACTTGGTGTGTTGGGAGTGAGGTTCCTTCTTCTTTTGGCTCGGACGATTTTGGTCCGCGCGCTGTAGGCTTAACCGCCAACTGATTACATTCCTTTGCCATCTTCTGACTTCCTTGGATTGTACCTATTTTCCCGTCCGTCCTCTCAAACTTTAGCAGCATTAAGTGAGGCACAATGAGTGCTTTTGCTGCATTCAGCGTAGGACGGCCGAGTATGACATTATATCCAGTAAGCTCTTTCACAACCAAGAAGCGGACGACCATATCTCTTCCTTCCCCTTTTTTCCCAAATCGGACGGGTAAATCTATCCGGCCCACCGGGTGGATGACATTCCCCCCAAATCCGACCAACGGGTGAGTGATGTCTTGGAGAGCATCCTCTGGGAAGCTTAGATTTTTCAAGGCGGCCAGGCTGATGATATCAGCCGCGCTACCCGTGTCAATCAATATTCGCCCGACCTTCAAATTGGCTATCTTCATGATGAATACCATTGGATCATTGTGCAAGGCTTTGACCTCCCCTCGATCGGCCTCATTGATGATTACTTTGGGGAAGGGTTCAGCCTTCACTGAATCCATCTACATCACCTTTCCCAGGTTCCGTGCATCCTGCTTGATCCCTCTCATAGTGGGACCGCCTGAGGCAAATCCTCCTGATATCACGGCCACAAAGCCCGAATCAGTGCTGTTGCCATCATGCTCTTTATCTTTGTTCTTATCACTCTTCTATCTTTGCTCGGACGTGTTGTTTGTCCGCGTGTAGGTGAATTTGGACTTCATCACATATGAATTCAGCATGCCCTTCTCGGCCAATTTGTCCAGCAGTCTCTTCAAGTTGATACAATCATTTGTGTCATGTCCCACATCCTTGTGGTAATGACAATATTTGTTCTTGTTCCTATACTGAGCCGGGCCTCTCAGCGGCTGTGGCTTCTCAAACTCAAACTTATCCTTGATTTCCATCAAGATAGAATAATAGTCCTTGTTGAATTCAAACTGGGGCTCGTACGCCTTGACCTTCTTGGTTTTTTGCGGCTGTCCATCAGCCACCCAGACTTCCTTTCTCTTTTTTCCTTCTTTCTTTTGGCCGGGCGAGTCTTGCTGAGAAGATTTCTTCTCACCCCCCTTGGCCGGCGCTTCTGCTTTTGTGAGCGAACAAAAGTCCGTCGCCTCAATATAAGCTTCGGCTTCCCGCAGAACACCTGCGTATGTCCGAATCTTTTTCCTTACCAAGTCAAATTTAAAACCATTGTGCCTTAATCCCCGGAGAAATTCAGAGTAAGCCATTTCATCCGGTAGATTATGAATTTGGGCTTTTTCTTGGTTAAATCGCTGGACGTACGAGCGTAAGCCCTCATTTTTTTCTTGGACGATTGTCGCCAAGTTAAGGCTAGTCTTTTGAGGTGGTATGTTGTATGAAAAATTTCCCACGAACAGCAAACTAAGAGTGGTAAAACAATTGATACAACCGGCCCAACTGTTGAACCAATCCTGGGCCACACCTTTTAGAGTGGCCGGGAAATATTTGCACCACGTAGCATCATCTACACTTTGCAAGTACATCAGGTTCCTGTACGAGGTGATATGCTCTTCTGGGTTGCCCGTGCCATCATAGGCTCCCACAAGTACACTCTTCACTTTTGGTGGCTGAGGGGCATTTAGGATATCTTGCGAAAACGGGGGCGGCTTATCTCCCAGAGTAAGTAGGCGCATCTGCCAATCAATGGGTTTCGGTTGCGCGGACGGTCCAGTCAGATAGGGAGCTAGTCCGTACACCTGCCCATATGGCCCATATTGGCCGTATGCCTGGGGGTTTGGCTGCATCAAGCCATTGAACCCCTGAGGTTGATATTGCAGTGATTAAGCCGGAACAGGAGTTGGAGCATGAAAGACTGGAATAGGAGTTGGGGTGCGAACTGCCTGACTTCCACTGGAGATGGCCGTGTTGGTATGCTGGGAAAGAGAATTATGCGAGAAATCATCCGGCATTGTCGGGGTTGAGGCCGTGTCAGAGTAGGCGGCGCGCTCCCGTTGCTTATGCCGAAGGTAATCCCTTGCGTCCTTCCATCGTCTGGACGGCTCAGGCTCCTCTCTTCGAGGCGGTCTACCTCTCCCCCCAGCCGACTGCGTTTTCGCCAGCAAGTCAGAGAAATTAGTCCGCGGTAGTCTTGGGGACCTTCCAGTCGGCCTTCGAAATGGAGTATTTCCAGCGTCCGTTGCATGGACTGTTTTGCTGTGTGTCTTTCTTGGATCCCTCTGTTCCTCTCTCCTGGGCGGCTGCCTAGAGGTAGAGGCTCCGTTTTCAATCTCTTTTCTGAGTTTGTTAAGCGCGGCCTTAAGAGAGGTTGCAGTAACAGGAGGATCATCAGCTTCTTCAAATGTGGCTATTAGAGGATCGCTAGTACGGATCGTAGGGATTAAATCCTCTACATGTCCATCCTCGCCTGGATTAGGTGTCTGACCGTCTATCGCCATAGCGTACGAGTATCCCCACAGACGATGCCAAATGTTTCGGGTCTTTTTTGGATCTCCTGGGATACTGGTCACGCTTTGCTGGCAATACGCTGGTCCCACCTGCAAAACCACGAATATTCCGTTCACCGGAATATTCGCCTCCGACGATCAAGTCAGTGATCAGAACGGAAAAGGCTAGAGAGAGAAAGTAGAGAGAAGTTGGAGCTTATTTAATGCTCTGTGTCTTTAATTGTCTGAAAAAATCCCCCCTCCCATCATAAATTATTGGGGTATTTATAGGGGTGGGACTCGTGCCCCTCTCTAGGGTTTATACCCTAGATTTGCGCGATGTGATTGGCTGCGCAATCAGCGAATGCCACGTGCCCCTCTGGAGGCGCCGTTTTGCGGCTTTCAGCATCATCTCTCGGGATTTGGGCCTGACGTTGTTAGGGCTTTTTGGCGTGCTGATCATCAGAAGGATCATTTTTCCTAGACACATGGCATCCTCCCGTGGTGACACGTGTCACCCTATGACTGGGCCACGTGTCACTATGGGATTGGCCTGAGATCTTAAGAACTCTGGATTGCGTGGCATCTTCCCGTGGTGACACGTGTCACCCCATAATTAGGCCACGTGTCACTGTGGGATTGGTCCACGTATATGGGGTATTTTTACCCTCAACAGGAACAACCAAATGTTCCCAATAGCTGGGGTAGTGGTGGGGGTTGAGAGTGCAGACACTTGAAGCTAGTTTCTGAGCCTTTTAAAAACTGACTTAGGTAGTCTTGAAGGTGCAGGGTACACAATTATGTCTGATCAGCAAAAAGGATTAATTGGGGCAGTGGCTGAAGTTTTCCCTTAAGCAGAAACAAGGGTGTGTGCAAGACATGTGTATAGCAACTTTAGAGGTGTGTTTGGGGGAAGTCTTGAGCTTAGGAAATAGTTCTAGATGATAGCCAAAAGCAACACAGAAAATGATTTCCTTGCAAGTATTGAGGGCATTAGAGAATTGTCAAATGATACTGCTGAAGACCTTATGAAGAGGAATTACAGGAAGTGGTGCATGGCCTTTTACACTCCTCTATCTTGTTGTGATAGTGTAGACAACAATATGAGTGAAGTGTTTAATGCATTCATACTAAAATTAAGACACAAACCAATCATAACAATGTTGGAAGACATCAGAGAGAGTTTAATGGAAAAACTTCACAAAAAGAGAGATATGATGAAAGAAGCTGACATGTCATTATGTCCTAGAATTCACCAATAGTTAGAGAAACACAAGATTTGGGAAAGAGGATGGACAACATTTTGGGATGGTGGCTTCTGTTATGATGTTAGGGAAGAGGCAACACAAACTAAGTATGTCGTCAACTTAGCCCACAGGACCTGCAGCTGCAATGCATGGCAAACTCAGTGGTATACCATGCAAGCATGCAATTGTAGCTACATGGAACAAAGTTGAGCAGCCTGAGGCATATGTGAATGATTACATCAGAAAGTCAACCTATGCATTGGCATACTAGTATTTGTTAGAGCCACTCAATGGCCCATAAGAATGGCCCAATTCAGATCAGACAATCTTAA